AAAATTGTGAATCGAATCGTGAGTTGAGTGAATCGTTACATCCCTAGTAGTTGACTCTGCTCCAGCTCCACTAGGGGTTTTCAATGTCCTGCTGCCTGTTCTCTAGTGAGATCCATACTACACATCCACTATGCAACACTTCCACACTCTGGACTGGAATACTCTGAATGGAGTCAACACTGTGAACACAGTTTAGCATGTGCAGAATGATGATAATGAGGATGTGACTTTTGTTGACTTAAGTTTGTGTTTTAGATTATTATTGTGCTGAAATTCCTTAATGGAGGCCCCCAGATTTTGTGCTTGAATGGTCTGGTATTTGGCATGATACATGACTCCTATCTTGAATACTTCCCTAGTCCTAACTGAAGAGAAGCAGCTCTTTGGAATGTCATTATGGTGCCCCATTGTATCCACTTGTTGATAGTGGCCTTCATAGTATTCCATGGCACATCTAATGTATTGGAAATACATTTATACCCTTGTCCTATTTAGTACCACTTCACATCTGCACCTTCACCTTCACCCCCAACACATCTTTGTGGGCCATGGCTTCAGCAATAAACAAAGAAAGATAGCTTGAATTTACATGAACAGGACTACTTCTAGTGGTAGTTTTAACTTCCAGTCATCAGTCTGCTGAAATGAAGTGGCGGTGAGGAGGTGTGCTCAAATCAAGCTCTGTCCTCTATTTTTATTGTGTTTTTTTTAATTCAATATTCGATTTAGTTCATAAAAACATTACAACTGGTTGCAACTTCCAGATCATACAGACTTTAAGTTCATTGCTTAGTAATAGTTTTATCTGAAGCCTCATATTCATTGTATCTGTGCTGTTACAGACTGTGGACCACCATTGAGTCTCTCAATAGAGGAAGTACACAAACTGGCATCCCACTCCAATGACAGGAAGACTGCTTCAAAGAGAGTCCAGGAGTTGAGCTCTGAACTTTTCTTTGCTGTCTTTGTTAAGGTACGTATCATAGAAAAAAGATCAGGTTTTATTTGTCATTTGAACAGCTTGCACATAGGGTAAAAATCTTCTGTATGTGTAAATATTACCGTTATAAAATAAACTTACAAAATACATTTTGCCCTTGATCATGTGAGCATAGTTGTTGTTGATTTTCCAAATGTTGTTGAACTGCCAAGGCCAAAATTATGTTGGTTAACACAGCTAAACCATTTATTCATGAATGTGATGATGCTGGTAGGAGTGTGGTCCTTTGGATTCAGAAGCTATGGTCGTGGGAGTTCTAGACCAGTCCTTTGATGTGCTTGTGCTTCGCTACGGAGTGCAGAAACGAATCTACTGTAATGTATGTATGACTGTATTCAACTTCTGTTTGTTTTCATAGCTTATCGTTATTTATTATTATTTAGAAATGGTAAAACGTATTTCACAATAGAAATAAAAATGTTGAAAAAATACATTGGTGCCATACATATTGTCCCCATACAGTGGGGAACATATTTATTTGATCCCCTGCTGATTTTGTAAGTTTGCCCACTTACAAAGAAATGAAGGGTCTGTAATTTTTATGGTAGGTTTATTTTAACAGATAGAGACCGAATATCGACCAAAAAATCCAGAAAAAAAAACATTATATAAAGGTTAGATATTGATTTGTATTTCAGTGAGTGAAATAAGTATTTGATCCCCTACCAACCAGCAAGAATTCTGGCTCCCACAGATTGGTTATGTGCCCATGTGGAACACCGATTAGTCCTACCACTTTAAGAAGTTACTCCTAAATGCCAGCTCGTTAGGTGTATAAGACACCTGTCCACACAATCTGAATCTTCCATTCCAACCTCTCCCACCACCATGGGCAAGACCAAAGAGCTGTCAAAGGATGTCAGAGACAAGATTGTAGATCTGCACAAGGCTTGAATGGGCTACAAGACCATCAGCAAGAAGCTTGGTGAGAAGGTGACAACTGTTGGTGCGATTATTCAGAAATGGAAGAAATGCAGAACAACCATAAATCGGCCTTGATCTGGAGGTCAGTGCAAAATCTCATAGTCAGAAATGCTGACTATGACCCCAAGAACACCATCCCTACAGTCAAGCACGGAGGTGGAAACATTATGCTTTGGGGCTGTTTTTCTAAGGGTACAGGACGACTTCACCGCATTGAGGGGCAAATGGACAGGGCCACGTACTGTAAAATCTTGGACAAGAACCTCCTTCCCTCAGCCAGAACACTGAAGATGGGTCATGGATGATTCCAGCATGACAATGACTCGAAACATACCGCCAAGGCAACAAAGGAGTGGCTCAAGAAGAAGCACATTAAGGTCACGGAGCGGCCTAGCCAGTCTCCAGACCTCAATCCTATAGAAAATCTGTGGAGGGAGCTGAAACTTTGAGTTGCCAAACGACAGCCAAGAAACCTTAAGGATTTAGAGAGGATCTGTAAATAGGAGTGGCTCAAAATCCCTCCTGAGATGTATGCAAACCTGGTGACCAACTACAAAAAACGTCTTACCTCTGTGCTTGCCAACAAGGGCTTCTGCACCAAGTACGAAGTCATTTTTTGCTTGTGGATCAAATACTTATTTCACTCACTGAAATGCAAATCAATTTCTAACCTTTATATAATGTTTTTTCTGGATTTTTTTGGTTGGTATTCTGTCTCTGTGTTAAAATAAACCTACCATAAAAATTACAGACCCTTCATTTCTTTGTAAGTGGGCAAACTTACAAAATCAGCAGGGGATCAAATAAATATTTTCCCCACTGTATTTGACCATAATAGTAAATGACATTTTTAAGCACCAACTTTTCTTGCAGTACCTGTAAGTGGTTCCTTGTGTATCTATCGCAACATGCTATAGCATGCTAAAACAGGCTTGCAATGTGCTAAAATATGCTAGCAACTAGGGATGTTCATTTTTTTCCCCCTTACCGACAACTGACGCTTGTTAACAGATAATTAACTGACAAGATTGGAGTGCTAAATTAATGTCTTAATGTTTCGATCATTTTAACATATTAAATGTTAAAACATATTAAAAACTAAAATATTAGTGTTTTTATTAGTGCTGCCTCTGACTAAAGATTTTTCTAGTTGACTAATAGTCGTTCATGTAAGTCATTAGTCATCTATTTGTACATTTATATTAATTTAATTACTTATTAAAATATAATTAGGAGGCCTTTAATATATAGCCTATTCCACACTCAGATGCATGCATAAAGCTTAACACAAAGCACCCGCAAAAGTAATGACTTTGAATGTGTCAGAAAAAAATAGCAAGGAGATTATTATTATTATTATTATTATAAATAATTATAATTATTTATTAATTAAACTAGTGTTTTTTGAGACTGTGTCTGCTACAAAGATGAAGCTGACAATGCTGACTCGCCATCTCCGCAGTATAGTGGATGAACTTTCAGAAATTCACCTTTAATACGAATTACATAATGAAAGAGTTTTTGTTTTGAATTTGTTCATTTAAAAGTACACATTTTTAGCTTTCTGTAGATGTTTCTCATGTCTGTGAATCAAGTTGTTTATAGGCTATATGCTGAGTTTCGGTTCGTTTTTGTGGCATGCTCCACTTCACAGAGACCAAGACGGCAGAAAGTGCATCCTGTTCTTTATTTTACAAAAGCACAATGTTTTATTGATATTGTGAGTGTACACAAACACAGACACTTTACTGTTTCGAATGATGTATTATTCTTCACCTGCATGAGCAAAAATAACAGTGTATTTTGTTTCCACTGTTATCAGGAAACAATGCCAGTGAATGCCAGCCTTCATGTCAAGCAGTAAACGTGCTAATAGCTTCCACACTCCACACAAACACTTGGCTTTGTGGGGTTTCAAATTTAAGAATCTGTCTTAGATCTACTGATCCTATATCCTGACATACAATCACCTGAAAAACTAAGGTGAAATACATTGTATTTAGCGTTTATGGTAAAGATGATGACATCAGAAGAACGATTCTGTTGAACAAAGTTTGTTTATTTATATCTGTATCAGCAGCAGCGTAGCAGATCTATTCCGTCAAGACCAAGTACATTAACATTATCATGTACATTACCATGCAAATCACTCAGAGTTGTCATGACAGAAATCAAGTTTACATTCACTTCACACACTCATTATTGCGTAGTGACTTTAGAGGTTTATATATAATATCGCACTGATCCCCTGACTCACCTGTTACCCAGCAAACATGAGGAGTGATTGAACCAGCCTCAGCCGAATATTATTTGCCAAATTATTTGTTATTCTTTTGAAGCTATTATCCGTGCCTTTCAGAATAAGGTATTTGGCTTCAGTCACACCCCTAGTCATCACCCAGGTGCATTGTCTCCATTCCTAAGCACTGCCCCCTAAATGTATATAAACTACAATGTATCACTGCCTTAGTTAGACTTTTGATGACTGCAGTGTTTCGAAACAGTGCGTTCTCAATAAAGAACTCTGCCGAAGATACCCAAGAGTCTCCTGGTCTGTGCTTCTGAGTTTCTAACAGCATCTAATAGTGCATATGTATCCAAGTCAACGTTAGAGCGAGTGGCCATGTGAAGTTGCTATTACTTAAATGTTTCACTTTCAAATAATAAACCATATTTGAGGTTGGTGAATAAGCAAACTTTTGGATTTCCTGGCGATATACTGTAATTACCTCAAGGACCATCTGTTAGCTATCTATCTGTCATGGACCATTTTGTTTCTGCAACTAACAGACTAATAAAATTTTAGTCATCTAAGCCTTTTCCCAATGTTTAGTTGATTATTTGGGGGGTGCAGCCCTAGTTATTTCTATTCATTGTTACAGTTTGTATCTTCCAGTATTTATATTCATTGTTAGTTTGAATCTTCCAAAAATATGTTAGAGATATGTAAGATAGGAGCATTTACTTTCTGTCGACATGCTGTCATGTTATTTTTAGATTAATATCATTCCTTATACCAAGTTGCTTGAACTGTATCCCCTAGGTTACGAAGACCATTTTAACTCCTCTGAATGTAATAAGGCGTTAAACTGAGCTCAGAAAAGGAAACCAGCACAATATAAATGGCAACAACAGATGAAACATTCATTGCTTTTTAATAATGCATGACATAATGAATAATAAATGTTGTCTTTCTCCTAAAGTCATTAGAGGGACTAAAGGCAGTCCACTTCCATAAAGTGGGAAAGAAACCAGAGATGACGCTTGTTTGGGAACAAGGTGACCCCAGCAAAGAGTCCACACAACAGGTGTACTACTCCAAGCAGATCTCTGTTTGCTAAAATCATGTTTTCTCAATTTCTGATACATTGGCTTATGAGTATAGTTAGAATTTCAATGTTTTTAGTTTCTAAATGTTGAAACAATTTAATCCTGATTATGTTTTTACATTTATAACTAAAACAGCACATTAGCAGATCAGCAAACCACATAACAATGTTCTTGAACCACTCCAAAGATATTTACCACTAAACCACACCTAGTAACCACATACCAATGCATAAAAACACAGAGTGCCCTATTAACCGCATAGCAACACCCAAGTAACTGTCTGGGACACACTACCAGCTGCATACAAACATGCTTAAAACCAGGGTTTGAACTTAACTTTTTCACTCTCAAGCCAATTTGGCTACAAAATTTTTGTTACAGGTTATTCATAACTTCTACTAGCCAAAAGAAAAATTACTGAAATAAACCAACACCTTTGGCTGTCCACACTGGATGTGACAAAAGCAGGCATTGCAATTTGCAAATCACAGTCCTAAATAGAACGAGGCATCAGTTTACTTTAAGGGATTTGTCGTGTCGCACCGTATCCAGTGTAGACAGCATCACTGATCGTAATGGGTTTTATTGTTCTATTTTGTCGCACCGGTTGCATCCGGTGTAGTAGACAAGGTTTGATTCTAAAGTCATTTTTCCACTCTGTTATTGCTTAAATGCAAAGGGAACCAGTGTGCCCGCCATGCCATTATTTGTTGGGTATGTTCAAGTAAGCTAGATATGCGCAGATGCTGCGCAATTAGGCTGTATGTAATATATTATGTTGACTTACAAGTTCCGTATCTGTGCTAAATCAGCACAGATTTGGCTTAAATGAACTTGCCCAAGAAATTGAGTGAACATTATTTACGTAAAGTAACCCACCAAATTGGCTAGTGATTTGACCGCATCACCCGCCAGAGCTGATTTTTACCTGTATTTGGTGGGTTAGTGGGTGTTGATTTCAAACCCTGCTTAAAACCATTCAGAACATAGCAACATTTTAGCATTTAAACATAGCATTTTTATTTTATTTTATTTTGCTTAGCTCATGTGTAAAAATATATTTTTCTTTTCTTTTTCTTTTCTAACAATTAGAAGCTCATTTGGAACAGGTTGTTTGTCAGATTTATTATTTATTGTTACAAATGTTTTTACTTAAAGGGGTCATATGATGCTGCTAAAAAGAACATTATTTTGTGTATTTGGTGTAATGAAATGTATTTATGACTTCGTTTCAAAAAACACATTATTTTCCACATACTGTACATTATTGTTTCTCCTCTATGCCCCGCCTTTCTGAAAGCTGTGATTGGCCAGCTATCCAGTGCGTTGTGTCTGTGAGTCAGAACAGCCGGCATTGTAGTCTACTCTTCCAGGATCAGGAAACGGTCCTCCATAAAATGTGCTGCACACATCTGAATATTTGGGTTGAAGTGTTCTGGAACAGTGTTGTAAATACAACTGCAAATCTTCACACATAGTGATGTAGATATATGGGGGCGTTAGAACGAGCCGTTTTAGGTAGGTGTGGCTGACTCTTAACTTTTATAAAGAATATCTCTTTGGATTTGAGACTTTAGTCTTTGCAACTTTACAGATCTTCTTTATGCACTTGTAACACTCCGAAGAGAAAGGAAGAATTGAAATCGCATCATATGACCCCTTTAATATGAATTTAAAAGTTTTGTTTTTTTTAACTATAAATTTGAATCCAATTTAGTGTTACCAGTGGTTCATGGGGTTGAGGCAGAAATCTAAAATCTTGCCTAGGGCAACAACATAATCTGTGCCCATCCTAGAACAACATCCTAGAAACTGCATATCAATTCCTTACCTGCTTTTTAGAACATCCCAGAAACCACATACATTGTTATATCTGCAGTGGATAATGGTGTTGTCCTCTTCTGCAGGAGATTTCCATCTTCACCCTGTTGGATGTTCAGCTGAAGGCAGATGGAGCTCCTATGAAATACAGTGCTGTGCTCAAGAGACCCTCAGCATTCGTATGAATTTCATTGTTATTTTCTTTATTATTATTATTATTTTTGCTTGCAGATTTCTTAACCAAACAGAGGTATCAATAGTAAGGCTGCTCCTTTGCACCAATATAATATGAACTTGGTTTTGTATAATTTTATTTTTGATTTTGTCCTGAAATCTTTGTTGCAGACTTCTTTTAAGTTAGGAATGTTAAGTGTTCAAGTTTATGAATGCATCTATGCATGTATGTATGTGTGTATATATATATATATATATATATATATATATCTATATGTCTTTGTCTATGTCTTTTAGTACCGCTTTA